TGGGCTCAAAACATGGTAAGAACGACTTTATATACACATACAAGACGGGACGTTGACTTACCGGACTGGGCGGTCCCTGCTAGTGTGATTAGGCGCAGTTGTGTGCCACCGCCTGGTGTTCGCCGTAGGCGCCCCTTCACGAACCTTGTCATAACATGGCTTGTAGCGCGGTCGCATGCCCTCTGGAGGCTGCAGTACAGTGGGTACATGCAATAGCAGCCTATCACATACAAATGTGCCCACGTTTGTAGCATATAAATACTTGTCCTAAGCTTTGCAAGCCTGGGCTTAAACCCATGGCTTGGGCCGGGCTCAGGCTTGGCTCAGGCTCAGGGCTTGGCTTGGTGTCGCCACAAGCCCAAGCCAGGCCCGCACATCACTAATTGCAAGCCATGCAGCGCGGGGAGCAAGTATAGGAGCGCGTTGGGGCGAGAAGGGAAAAGGAACGTGGCGCCGCCCAGTTAGAAGTGCACGTTGCAGGCGCAAGGTATGTTTATAGTCCTTGGCAAGTAGACGTAGATCCACGCTTGGTAACGGCGTACATGTCGTTCCCTCTATATGTGGCATATCGAGCTAATTCTCGCACACAGTTCTCAAATACGGCGTTAAACTTTGCAAGACCACCTATCACACGACAGCAGCAACTCGACCTGGTGTGTTTATGGTAGCGAAGTTGACCGTTCGCAGAAAATGTTTGTCTCTACGACATGCACCATTGACAATAGCTATTAACTCAGGGTATTGAAGAGCCATTTGTACCGTAGTCTCCAGCTTGAATTGGCAAATGTAGTCATATTTCGTGGCTGGTAGATATTTTCATGTACAAAAACAGACATCCAACATAATACAATGCATCTTGGGTGCACCTTCTTGTCCCTTGCATGGCGTGTCTCGGTGCCTGATGGCAAAGCAGTGAGATGGCGGCTGATGCTGCTGTAAGTGAGTCGCAAAAGCTGACACAGCGCGAGTGTGCCAAGCTGGGGATGGCATGGCAGAATTGGCAGGAAGGAACGCAAAAGAGCATCGGCTTTGTGTGAAAGTTTGGTGTTTACCAGCTATGCGATGTAAGAGACCCAGGAGGCAAGAACGAAGGCCAGATACGCAGTCTCTTGTTCTTCTCACTAAACACGCTACGCCAATAGTATCTTCGTTGCTGTGTTTGGAGACCATAAACGAGCAAGGGCACTTACAAGAGGACAAACATACTCTTGGAGCTCTTGGTTCCAACTTAGCTGCAAGAGCCGTTGTCTCGCCGAAGTGCACAAACTATGTCCTCTCAATCATAGCGACTTGCTAGATCCTGGTTGCGATGGCGTGG